GAGACAGAGTTTTGCTCTTCTTGCCCAGGCTGGAGTGGTGCATTGGTGTCATCTTGGCTCACTGCAACCTCTGCCTCCCAGGTTCAAGCTATTCTTCTGCCCCAGCCTCCTGAGTAGCTGGGATTATAGGTGCCCACCACCATGCTAATTTTTATATTTTGAGTAGAGATGGGGTTTACCATATTGGCCAGGCTGGTTTTGAACTCCTGACCTTGTGATCTGCCCACCTTGGCCTCCCAAAGTGCTGGGATTATATGCATGAGCCACTGCACCTGGCTGAAAGTGGTAATTTCTGATGCAACAATTTTGTGATTTTGTTTTGAAAATTTTTAAACTTTCCAAGATATAGTTTCTCAAACTCTTCTCCAGTTCCTTCCTGAGTATTCCTGAGGGATAGGACCCAATCCTATCTATAAAAGAGCACACATAGAAATGATTCTCAAAATGCACTCTATGTGAGCATGTGAATATAGGAGATAAGTGGTAAGTTGCCTCCACTGTTTCCTCCCCATTTGTAGGCACCTGTGGGACATAATTTGTTAGGAAGAATAGATCAATGATTAAAAGCACTCCTAAAAGCTTGATGGTTCAGCCATCTTTTATCCATTAGGAAAGAACTTGCTGACATCTATCCAAGTCATTGGGAAACAAGGACAAATTGCATTCCATTATCACTTTTCTTTAGCTTCCATCCACCACCCCATGCACACTTTGGCCAAGAGCCTGCTGAGGAAACCAGACATGACAGCAAACCAAATCGAAGTACTGTAAATATCTTTACTTCTTCCAGGCCACATGATTTTATTTCTAAACAAAAACTTCACATTACACCAAAATCAGAGATTGCTTTAAAAGGGCAAGATACTGTAAATCACTACAAAGCAAATACCATTTTTGCGACTTAGCAGCATAAACAATGTAATACATATAAATAAGACAAAAACATTGTGTGACATAAATCCTGCTACTGGACACAACCTTGAAAGCATCCTTGGGAGTCATAGCATAACTGGATCTAACAGCCTACACTCAACATTTACATGCTATGAAATTTTACATTAGGCTTTCTGAAGAATTATGAATAATTATTTTAATAATTACTCTAAATAAAACCATTTCCCTGCTGATTTGAGATCAAAAAGAGGGGAGAGACTTTGAGTTGAACTCACCTCGGCATGAAAATTATTCACCTTTTCTGCTCTTAGGAAAAGGAGTAGCAGGCAGTAGAGAAAAGTGAGGTGTGGCCATCGAGATGACTACAGGATGTTGGAGAAATGTCAGAAGACTAATGCCTGTTCATATATCAAAAAGTCTTTCCCAAGGGGTCTTCACCATCAAAATGGACAGATGTGGTCAGTCTGATTTAAAGTCATGTTTTAGGGGGAGGTGGGGAGGGATAGCCTGGGGAGAAACGCCAAATGTGGGTGAAGGGGTTTTCACCTGCCATGTGTGTACCTATGCAACTGTATTGCATGCTCTGCACATGTACCCCAAAACCTAAAATGCAATAAAAAAATAAGAATAAAAAATAAATAAACAAATAAATAAAGTCATGTTTTAGTCTCTGGATCTGCAAATCCTGGGTCCAGCATTTTCACTCCCTGTGGGCCAATATTTTCACTTATTATCAAAAGAGTAGCTTATGCTTTGGCTCTTCTGATTCTGTTCTCCCCATCCCTCCCTTCCCCCTTATAATTCAGAAAAATCATACCTTTATTGAGGATATGCTATATATGGAAAAGTACATAACCTACCCTTCCTGACTATTCCACAGACAAACATTCCTGCAGTAGGACCAAATGGGGTGACTCCAGTTGCCTAGTTTCAGTGGCATCCAAACTATGAAAGAGAATGAGAGGAGAATGTAGTGGTATTCCTTCACGCTAAAAATGAGGTTTGTACATGTGCTTACATATTCATATTTGTGGTGGCAAACAAATATGTATATGTATGCAAATATACATAAACATATAAAAATAACCACAATTATTTTCTTTTCATCTCCTTCTCCTAGAAGACTGTGGAATGCAGCCAGCCCTGCCCAAATACCATTTCATAACATTTTTTGCTTTTTTGTGGCATCTTTTTCCCTTCTGTGTTAACCTTGATGCTTATCCTGCCCAGATTTCAACTGTATAGAAATGTTAGGGGAGAAATAACATTTCATAATGCACTGCAATTTGAGACCATGAATATGCACTGTTGGTTTCCCTTGAGTAATTTATAACCAACCCAAACAGCATCTCTAACATTGGAGACTCGAGAACTAAAGGCATTTGAACACATGCAAGCACTAGGGTTACGAGCCCGCTAGCAGGCTTTACTCATTCAACCAAGATTACTTTTATGGATTATTAGCAACTTTAAGAATTCCACTACACTACTGTACACTGCTCATTTTAGTTCAATCTTTTAAATGTTCAAGTTTTTCTGATGGAAAATCATCTCATTGATCTGTCAGGGGTTAATTATCCAAAGTGCTAATGACAGTTGTCAGCCAGACCAAGCTCATTTTGCTTTGGCCTTCATCCGTCAGAGCTTGGAAAAATGACAGATTTTAAAGACAAAAACGTCCCAGTCAGGCAGTGTCAAAAGACTGTAGATTGAAGATCTGTCTCTCCAGCTTCACTCATATTCAACACCCAGAACTGCAGAAACTTCCCTGTAAGTCTTCCTAGACTTTTGCCTGCCTTAGAAGAAACATATTAGTGTTGTATTGATAAGCCTTAAATAGCTCAGCCTCAAACCGATTGCCTCACTAAAGGGCACATCATTTTGGCAAGCTTCCTGTCCAGGATCCAGATGGATAATTACATGCCATACACACAACAGAACCCCAACTGTACACACACATTCACACTTACACACCCAGCTATATGTTCCAGAGACATAAACATTATCCAAACAGCTCATTTCTAACCACATGCTGGGCTCTAGGCTTATTTAGCCTTTGTTCCATTGAATTTCAGATGCTCTTCAATTTGGCGGCTTTTCTATCAAACGGGAAGAAAACTGCTTAACTCCATATTCCTTGAGAGGGGTGGGGTGGAGAATGTTCTGTTTGGTATTATTGCATTGCTAAATTACACATAAAAGGCTGATTTTTTTATTAGAAAAGAATGGGTTACCAATAAGCTTTTAAAGAAACAAAAGCAAGCAACTGGGGTGAGTCTCCCCAGTAAGTCGTGAGTGTTTTCTAGGGGCAAGGAAACTCACAGCAAGGAGGCAGAAAAGCTTGAATTGTTTAAGCAAGATTCATGCGCTCAGGCCAACTGAGAAACCCCCAGGGTGAGGTCGCATGGGGTTTTTCCACTGACAGCCTGAATACCAAGCAGGAACACGACTGCTCTTTATGTTACCACCCTCTGGTTTTCATCCTGATGTGTCCTGTTGATTTTCTAACAGCTTAAATGTTTAAAAACAACTGCATTCTTTGAAACATTTTAGCCACCAACAGGTGAATGTGATTAGTTAGACATAAATAAGGGTGGGGGGGTGGTGGTCTTTCCTTTCTCTGTATGAAACAAGGCTTTCCTGAATCGAAAATAAAGTAAAAATGGAAATCTGCGGGTACCCTGGTTACCTGGCAACCCAAACCCATGGGCTGCGTCTGTTCTCATCCTAATGCCCCCCAGCATGAAAGATGCAGTCAGAAGGGATTCCTTTCATGTGGAGCCTCTACTCTGGTCCATTCATTCATCCCCAATTATTTGGTTTCCAAGTCAATAACCCAGATTTCTGAGGGCTCTAATGCTTGTCTCTATAGGAAAGGACGCTTCCGCTAGGGAATTTACTATAACACCATTTAAAATGAATCCGTGTTTTGCAAACCCCCTGGGAACATTTGTGTTAAAAGAAAAAATAACAGGCCGGGCGCGGTGGTTCACACCTATAATCCCAGCACTTTGGGAGGCCGAGGCGGGTGGATCACAAGGTCAAGAGATCGAGACCATCCTGGTCAACATGGTGAAACCCCGTCTCTACTAAAAATACAAAAATTAGCTGGGCATGGTGGTCCGCGCCTGTAGTCCTAGCTACTCGGGAGGCTGAGGCAGGAGAATTGCTGGAACCCAGGAGGCGGAGGTTGCAGTGAGCCGAGATCACGCCATTGCACTCCAGCCTGGGTAACAAGAAGTCTCAAAAAAAAAAAAAAAAAAACAGTGAAGGGGATCTAGGGGAAGACTGCTTCTGGCTGCCCCACAGTTCCTTCCCCATTGCTCTAGGGAATGTGCAGGGTCTTGACTACTTCCTCAGGACCTCACTGCCTGAGGCTTCACTCGGATACCTGCCTGTCACACTGCAGATTCATCTATAAATAATCAGCCCAAATTGGCAACTGCCTGGGATGAGAGTAAGGGAGAAATCAGGCATTCCACACTGGCTCCACCCAACCCAGGCAGGCCCTTAATACTTATTGACAGTCCTATGACTGGGTCTAGAAATAATAATTCTAAGATTGTTGTGATATTGTTGTTTTCACTTTACAGTGTTACAAAATAATTTAGAGATTACTGAAGAGCCACATGCTGAATTCCAAGGCAGAAAACTTCAAATAATTAACATCGTGCTCTCCTCTGAAGAAAAATGCTATATATCTCACTAGATTTTTAGAGTAAATATCAATGATTCTCACAGTGATTCTGTTCATCCCTAACTAATCAAAACAAGTTTATCTGTTCTGTGTCTTTTAAAAACTTAGTTCTCTCAGGGCCTTGTCCATTCTACTATTTGTTTGTTTTTCTATCAGAGGCTTTAAATTGTCAATGAAAATCAAATCTCCGTGTTTTTCCTATTTGTCAGAATCTTTGCTGAAAAATTTTATGAAGGATAAGAGTTTTATAACACTATAGGTGTTACAATATAGAAAGAATAGTTAAATCTCTATAAACCTAATTAATTCAACAAAATAGATTGAGAAATTAGCAGAGGTAACACCCTGCTAAAATATATGTATGCGTGTGTGTGTTACAAAGATGAATACAGAACAGTCTGTTCTTTGAGAAGTTAATTCTAAAGAGAAAGATACAATGTAGATGGTTTACCAGGAAATAATAATGTATGTGCTTTCAAGGAACATATACTAAATACCAAAAAAGACATGAGCAATGGGAACTTTTTGAGATATAGTCATTTCCAGCTCTGGCAATGGAAAAAGCCACAAAGCCTTCAGGAGGAAAATGGAGAGTAAATGGCATTTGATCTAGTCCAATGGATGGGTAGAATTTTGATATGTAGAAATGGAAAAGACATTAGAGATGAAAGAAATGGAGTGACCAAAATCATGGGGCAAGAAGGTGCTGGAAACATTCAAGAATTGTTCAGTGGTCCAGTTTAGTCAATGCACAGGATGCACAGTTGTCCATTTCAACTGTGGTGTATCCATCAATCTATAATTCTGCCTTCTATAATTCATTCACTCACTTATTCAACAAATATTTACTGGGCACCCACTCTTTTTGGAAGAGACTTAAGAGGATTTAAAAGAACAATAATAAATAAATGATTCTCAATTTTTCACAAGACCCTTTGCCAAAGTTGTTGTTCACAAACTGCCACTCCTGCTTTAAGATTATAACAACATCACAGTTGATATTGCTAAAATAAAATAAAATAAAAATTCCTGTGCACGTTTAATGTGACTTAGTCGTGAAGAAACTGCATCATTCCAAGTGGGGGGCAACACGACAGCTTGTCGGAAGAAACTTATTCAAAGCACAAAGCATCAATTCATAAAACACTCACACCATTACAACATCCCAAATACATGCAGTTACACCTCCAAAGTATTACCTGAAAGTTGAGTGTTCTAAGTGGTGAAGCTTAGCCATTTCATTTGGAACTAGCCACCATACCCCATACCAATTCACTTAAAAGCTGGACATTTCACCTGAGGGAAAAAACTAAAGTGTAAGAATATTCTCAAACAATATTCTTTAATCTTATGAATTAAAAAAACAGACAAAAACATTCGCTGGATCTACTTCACTGGGCTAACATAAGGATAAAATGAGACAATAGATGAGAGGTTATTTTAACCTGCAAAGCACTAAATAAATATTAGTTCATTTTATCACAAAAATCAGTCTTTGCTGAGTCAGTGCCACTATAAATTTCTCACTGAAAATGGTCCCAGTATGCACAATTGGACACACATTAACATTACACCAAGTAGGGAGGTTATCATGTTTTGTTTCGTTTTTTTTTTGAGATGGAGTCTTGCTCTGTCAGCTGGGCTGGAGTGCAGTGGTGTGATCTCAGCTTCCTGCAAGCTCTGCATCCCAGGTTCAAGTGATTCTCCTGCTTCAGTCACCCAAATAGCTGAGACTACAGGCATGCACCATGACACCCAGCTATTTTTTTGTATTTTTAGTAGAGATGGGGTTTCACTATGTTGGCCAGGCTGGTATCAAACTCCTGACCTTGTGATCTGCCCCCTTCAGCCTCCCAAAGTGCTGGGATTACAGGTGTGAGCCACTGTGCCTGGCCGGCTATCATGATTATTTAGTGGAATTCAGGAGAGAGCTGGGGACTGTGTTGATCACCAATCAGTCCAGATAAGCAAGTGGCAACCACAGCAGCAGCAAAACTGAGACAATAGCTTGCAGAAGCTGCAAACATTAGCTAGTTGCTAGGGAGCTTCAGCAAGATGAGATCATGTGGCCTATATTATAAAAAGTTAATCCAAGTTGGAGCACAGCTGAAAAAGATGATTGCATCCAAGTGGCTTGACAGCAGGTATTGTCTTTGGTTTAGCGCCATCTCACACTCATATTTTGGCTATACTACCTGAGCCACCAAAGGAAGCAAGGACATCAGGTCATCGTAACTCATTAGATCATAATTGCTGAAAATGAGTTACATAATATTTTCTGAATGTCTTTACTGGTCAAAAGGTTATTAAAGAAAGATAGATAGAAACCAACAGTTATTAACTGCTTTCTCTGTGCCAAGCACTCTAATTATTATTTACACATTAATTATCTCATGTCACATTCAAAAGACAGATGTATCCCAAGGGGTATATGACTGAATGTAATGCTTTTGCTTCTTGTAAGTTGTTGTAAACATAAATGTCTTGCTGGAATTAGCCCAACATCCCTTGATCTCTAGTCCCCCAACATTTTCCAGGACTTTTACAAGTCATCTGCTGAGAGACTAGGACAGAGTGAGAATAAGGCAGAGAGGCAGAGATTTGGGAGTGCTCCTCTGGGGAAGCCAATAAGGAGGGTCAGCAAAAATGACCACTAAGAGCAAACAAGGAATTCATAGCAAACTGATCAACATGACATCATGATATCTTCCAGGAAGAGGACAGTAAAGGACACAGCATTAAGATTCTTGTGACTTTTTTCCTCTCGGAGAAGAAAAGGTAGCTAAAACAATTATAGTGAACATATTAAATAGCATGCAAACTAAAAGGCCTGCTACTCACTAGGTAGAGGATATCCTCCAAATCCACATGGATAGACACAAAGGTTAAATTCACTCTATAAAAGAACCTCCTTTCTTGAAAAATTCACTGAATGGAATTCCATGGTTTGGCATGTCCTAGGTAAGAACACAGACCTTGTTTGTAAATACTGACAAATAGGAGGTCTGAGGATTTTTTTTTTCATTAACTGTTTCTCCTTTTTATTCTCACCCACAAAAGACTTTCTCTTGTGTGTGTGTGTGTGTGTGTGTGTGTGTGCAAAACAATGCTAAAAGCTCAACTCCATTATGATAACCTTTCCAAAAAGTCATAAAGTCCAAGAAATGTATGACGATATCCCTGAACCATACTCCCCTCTCCAAAATTAATATCCTCTTACTTCGCCATTTCAAGCCTGCTTTCATAGGAAACTGACATTAAATCTCCATTGATCTGTGGGCTGGGGATGGTCAGGAAAGACATTTCATCTAAGCACACTTTCTAGGACATGTAGAAATCATTAACCAAAACCCACAAAATGACTAAATATAATTTATATAATGCTACTATCACAGCAAGGTACTTCTTAATTATTGGGGCATTTTAAATATTTAGCCTAACTAGAGACTAAATTTGAGGAACTGTCCTGAATATTAGCAAAATGGCTTTTCTAAAACCGAAAATTTCATTAAGAGACTGGATGTTTATACATGTGAGGAAACTGTCCATTTTCAATTGCGCCCCTTAAAGAAATATTCTTCTGTGAGATGAGTTTTAGGGTGTCAAAAAGAGCAAATGAGGCTGGGTGTGCTTGCTCACACCTGTATTCCCAACACACTGAGAGGCCAACGTGGGCAGAAAACCTGAGGTCAGGGGTTCAAGACCAGCCTTGCCAACATGACGAAACCCTGTCTCTACTAAAAATACAAAAATTTAGCCAGGCGTGGTGGCACATGCCTATAATCCCAGCTACTTAGGAGGCTGAGGCAGGAAAATTACTTGAACCCAGGAGGTGGAGGCTGCAGTGAGCCAAAATCATGCCACTACACTCCAGTCTGCATGTTAAGACATTCTATAAATGGCAGAACACAATACAAACCTGAAAGATTAGCTCCCTTTCTCTCCTCCATGTTTAGATCAGACTGGTTCATGGTGAATGGGGAGGAAATCTGAGTCTCTCTATCATAAATGTCTTATCATTTTCAGTCATTGATACTGCTTCATGCTAAAGCTTTTTGCTTGCATTTAAATTAGATGTGAAGTCCACTAACATATTTAGATTGAATTACAAAAAATTGCCAATATTCAACCATTTTAACCTATAAAAATGGTGATTTCATGGTTCAACCAAATACAAAACATTAATTTTTCTTTTATGATGCTGTAGAACTACAGCTATCATGAAATAGCTGTGATTATTTGGACAGAATTTGCATTTATATAAGATGAATAAAAGCTATGCTGCTCTGAAGACTGGGGGTCTCCCACAAGAACTTTAATGAAGGAGATAGAAATAGGCAGCTTTCCTGACTAAGGCTGACTGGAACCTATGTACCAGAAGGAAACTAGCTACATAAAGAAATCCACAAACATTACAAATCTTACACTGTGATATGGAGACATGTTGCTTTCAGCCTGTAATAGGATGTTGAAGGACTCTTTTTCCCTTGTCTCAGAATTTCAACTAAAACACAAAGCTGAGGATAATAGGTGCTAAGATTCTCCGCATTCTAAAGAGAACTGCCAGACATATCTCTGTAGAGCTTATCAGTTATGCAATATCACCTACTACTCCCACCAGCCTGCATAAGTAATAGATTAGACCTTCTAGAATTCCAATGTGTTATTGAGTTATTGGCCTACCAATGGTTCTCAGGCTGAGTGGAGGTTGGAAACATAAGGAGGCGTTCTCGGGGGTGCAATTGGCATCTAGTGGGCAGGATCCAGGGACACTAAATATCCCTGATATTTAAGAGAGAGCCCTGCACAACAAAACCTTATCTTATCCAAATTTCCATTAGCTTTCCCATTAAGAAACACTGACAAGGTGACCATCCTATGGCTTTTCTTCTTCCCTGCAGGGATGGGGCTATTTTCCTATCCCAAAGCCAAGTATCACATGCTCAAAGAAATTAGTAGTAACTGCAAGAAGACTGACATCCACTCTCCAGGTGGACTCTATCTGTGAGTGAGTTTGTTAACCTGCTTCTGTCCCAATGTGGGCAGAGACGAAGGGAATTAAGTGTGGGGCGGTGGCTGGCTGAAGAAAGGGAAGCAACATAGTAATCTGCCCTCCCACCCTTAGGTGTATCTCCCTGAGTCAAGTGGACACCATGGAAATTATCCAGGTCTAAGTTGTGTGGCTAGAGGGCTGCCCACTGGACAATGAGAGAACTGTCATTAGATGCCTGCCATACAGAGGATGTGGCCAGCCAAGGAAGAAACACAGGACTTTTCTTATGTAGCAGGCATTTGTCTTTCCCCCATTCTTCCCCCCATACTCTAGCACACTAGAGGTAAAAAAAAGAAGATTCAAAAAAAGAAAAGTAGCAAGACAGGCTCCAGAGGCAGTTCCCTTGCCAATGCAGGTCCTGTGGGTTCTAGGCCAAGCTTGGTGAGAAGAGTTCTTTCTCCATTGAACATGAGACTGACATTTCAAACTGATTACATTAAGTGAGACTGGAATTTCATGCCCCAAAACATCCACAATGCAATGTGATTCATCTAAAATATTGTTGAGATAGGAAATATTTGACAGTACATAGTTGGTTGCAGAAAAAGAAAAACATTGGAGAAAAGACATAAAGCTGTGTCATGTTTGTATGTCATCAAAATCTCAGTTAATAAAGAACATTCTTAGCTGATAACTTACCTACATGAAATTTTAAAAGTAATTCCTATATGTGAATGGAAACACTTTAAAAGTAACTGAAACTACTAAAAACACTTCATAATGATAGGTATTTCCAGGGTCAATAATTACAACCAAAAAATAGATTTGGGCTCTTTTGGGTAAATAGTGAATTTACTAGAGAATTTACAAGCTCACAGTGTTCATTCATTCAATAAATACTCACCTAGTACTATTATTTTCCAGATATCGTTCTATGCATTGGCACATGACAGTGAAGAAAAGACAAATTTTTCTTCTTCCTGAGACTCAGCTTCTAATGAGAGAATCACACAAATCAAATTGGAAAAATACCCGGCATAGTAGATCATGCTAAAAGGAGAACTAAAGCAAGGATGGAGAGAGGGAGTTACACATTGAGGGAGGCAGGTACCGCTCTTTAAAATAAGAATAGTCAGGGAAGAGATCACATGAAGTTGACATTTGGACAGAGTCCCGGAGGACAGGAAGGCACTGAGCAATTTTGGCAGTAGACACAATGCCACACTGCTGGCTGCTGCTGCCACTGCAGATAGACACTGATAGGCTGTGACCACCACCATCCTTTCATCTTTGTCTCCCTCCCTGATTCCGCCCCCTCACTCCAGAAAGAACATCTGTGTGGTCAAGCCAGAGTTATATGTCCCCCTGTCCTGGCTGCTGGAGGTTGGGCAGAAGGAGAATGGGTTACAGTTACACTCAATGGGGACTTCCCCTATTGAAAAGGATAATGACACTGTCATTTTTGAGAACTCACTCAGTGGCATTAGCCCACTAAGAAGCAATTGTGACTTAAGAGGTTAAATGGCTCACTCTGGCCATGACAGGTAGAGCAGGAACTCAGATTCAAGTCTCAGCTGACTTCAAAGACTGTGACCCTACTCATAAAGAGAACTCCTTCCTAAGGAGCAACCACTGTACTTGTTTTTGTTTTCTTTCCGGTGTACATGGGGAGGGAAGAGCAATCGTCCCAAAAGTCAGTGTCGTTCATAGGCTTCCTTAAAAACATTTCACATCAAGACCTGTGGTCTTCACACTCGTGTTAGGTGTTCCCTCCAGCTTTCCTTGCTTCCTGTTCTCTTTGCAAACAGCTCCTAATCAAGCCAAGTGATGACTCACCCACTAGGTTAATGTTTTTCAAATGTGGTCTTTGAACAGCTGTATCAGTATCATCGGGGAACTTGTTGGAATTGCAAAATTTCAGACCCACAGCCAGATCTACTGAATCAAAAACTGGGAATGGGAACAGCAATCTCAAACAAGGCTTCTCAACGATGCTGAAGGAGGCTTAATTTGAGAAACACTGCCCTGGGCCATACAACTGTTCTGGATGCTGTGCCTTCCCATTGTGGTTCCAGACACCTGGAAGAGTCATCTTCCTGCCCCTCAGGGACACCCTGCTGACCTCCTTTCTGAACCTCCCCTCACCTGGACACAGGAAATCTCTGCCTCAAATAATCCTTACCTCTAAAGTCCACATCAAGCCTGTAAAACCTTAAAATATTAAAATAAATGTTCCTATAAAAGCAATGTGCACATATGTCCAGTTTTGTATTTTAACAACCAAAGATAAGGTCGATACCGTGATGCTTTGAAGTATGAGGCCATAGAGAAAAACCAGGCATATTTCTATATGGCATTATTTGGCAGTTTAACAAACCTTTTTAAAAGCTTATCTTCTTATTAGAATGGCTGGATCCTGAGTATGCTGTTAGGTGACTACCTAATCATATGTTCTCAGTGGGTGCACAGTTGACCCACAGTACAATGAAACCCATGGAATGGTGAAATAATTAAAAATAGGGCTTTACTGAAATGTTTATAGCTTTTTATAAATGTAAATTCATACCCCTGGGTAAAGTTTCACACAGTTCTTTTTTGCCAAAGCAAAATGAGACTCCTCAGTTTCCATGGATCTGTGATTCTCATGGGTCTGAGAAGAACAGTCTAGTATTCTTCCCCGATGAGTTCTACTTCATAATACTTCATAATGTGACTTTTTTTTCTACTTGTTTTCTCTAAATAGCTCCCATATATCTTTTGATAGGTTAATGTCTTTATTAATAACATTTAACATTTCTTAGTATAGAAATGATACAGTCACTGTTAAAATAATAGATTAATTTTCTTAAATCAGTATATTTTTAATTTTTATAATTCAATTTTATAATTAGTAGATTTGTCAAGATAGTGGAAGTACTTTGCTGAGATGTTGCAAGAAAGCAATATGAACCCTCTCTCTCTAATACCAAAATGGTGGTCTCCAACCTTGTTTTTAAAAAATATTGAGTACCAATATATAATAACATGCACACAATATTTCAGTGGAAGTTCATGGACAAGTTAGTAAAATATAGTTACTATTTTTTTTTAAGCGAGATAAGGTCTCACTATGTTGTCCACCCTGGTCTTAAACTCCTGGCCTCAATCAATCCTCAGCCTCCCAGGGTGCTGGTATTACATGCAGGAGCCACTGTGCCCAGCAAAATATAGTTATTTAATATGTAGTTAATATCACCCTACATAATAAATGGAGTCACATTTTTGTCCAAAGTCTTCTTAAATCATTGAGTACAAAACTCTCTACCACTTTCCCAAGACCAAATAGAAGTAAACATGTTTCACGGATGTTACCCATGAGAAAAATCTGAGAACAGGGAAGGCGAGGGGAAGTAGAAAATTTAGTGTTTACTCATTGGTGATTCTGTTTAGCTACCTGATAACTCCACCTTGCTGTTCACCACTTCTATTGCTGTGATTTATCTTTGATACTAAGTGAACATCATCCTACTCCCCACATACAAACTGAAAACAAAGTTTCACTTAAGTCTTAAATAAACACAATTACTTACAAATGGGGCATGTGTGCCCTTAGGCCCTGAACGGCCTCTCGGTCACTCAAATGAGACTGGACACTGCCATCCTTGTCAACTATTTCATGTTTTTTTTTGCATACCACTTGCTTTTTATCCCATCAACCTTCAAAAGCCTAGCTTTGTAAAAATACCATATCATCTAGGACTGTAGGAATGCAGTGCAATTTAGTATGAAACTCTGAAGTTATTTGCATGGTTTCTGGTAGATGCTGCTCCGTTTCCTTCAAAAACTCAAAATATCCTGGGGTCTCCCTGTGAGTTGCCTGTAGCACCCTGGGATGTCCCAGCACATAGTCTGGAAACTGCAGGGTTAGATTATACATTAGCCTCTTTCGTCCTCTTGGATCAAGCTATTTCTATTCTCTTGAGTAGCTTCTCCAGCTGCCTTTCTAAAATTTCTCCTTCCCAATTTCCTTTTTGAGTAACCACAGACTGTCTTAATAAAGTATGATTATGTAGAGATATAGACATATATGAGTATGTATATCAGTATATTAATGCCACCATTCAGAGGCCTGTATCCTGGTGAAGGATTCATTTCCCTCCCTGTCAGCTTCTGTAAAGGAGTTAATCACCTTTGAAGGTTTTTCAACACGTAACGGATAGAAACATACATTAACACACTAAGACACCATGTCACCTCACACCTATAAAATTTGGGAGGCTGGGAGGAATATTCTCTGTCCCCACTAAGATAACTCTATTCGCAGTGGAAGCCAGTGACCTCTTCTGCTAAAATTTGCTTGCATACATTACTTCAAGGCTTAGCTGTTCAATTATTTTCAAAATGATTGACCATTTGAATTATTACAAACTGTTTTTAGAGTGAAAAGGAACATTTTAGCCCATTATGGGAATTTCAAGGACTATGAGAAAACCAACACTTTTATTCTAATAAAAATTGTCATTAGCTTTTCAGAGAAGGAAAGACAAGAAAGCATGTTCTCATTGTGAGAATCAATCACGCACCTTCATTTCTCCACATCTCAAGTCACCTTCCGATGGCTCACGTGACACAGTTAGCGGCAGGAGGAATGCTGTCATAGCTCATTACCAATGTCACACACTGTGAAACAGAGCAGGAGACAGCTTGGCATTCTCTCCTTCAAAGTGAGACTTAAAGCAAATTGAATTTGCTTATGCTGAGATAAAATAATACAGTAGGTCCCTGTACCCCCTCCAAAATAAAAAGATCATAATTTCTTGTAAAGTATAATGAGTGGCAAAATGACTTAAATTAAACCTCTGCTTACCTGCATTGTTGGCTAATTACAAAATTAGAGATTCACCACTCACCCCCACTCCCCGCCACCACACACACACACACCCCACCACTCTGGTAGTCTTCATAGTAACATAGCACCATCTAGCGCTGATATCATCTTAGAAGAATTCAAAAGCACACAAGTAAAGGGGACCTAAAAAGCAATGGTAAAATAAACTAAAATAAACAAATATTAACTCAGTACCTACTCTATAAATGCCATATGCCTGCCTTTTTTTTCCTTCACAATTCTGGGAATTGTGTAAGGCTTTCATAAGCAGGAATTGCTCTGACTTTTGTGGAAATTATTTACATGGTGGTGAGAGGGAAGAAGATGCTCTGCTGAAAGTTGTGTAAGTGATTTCATCAACATTAAATATGAGCGTAGAGGTGGCCATCAGGCTGCTCAGCGTGAGCAGAGCCATGATTACATTTACTGCACCTCTTCCCAGAAAAATATGGGGCTACTTAGCATTTATATTGCACTTTTCCTCTCCAAACCACTTCGCAGAACCCCTCTGAATAATTCCCCCAATGCCCTTGCAAAGTAGTTATTACTCTGTACTATTAGCCTCTCTACGAAAGCTTTGATGGCTGTTTTCACTGCATGTGAGTGAATTGCATTTACCAAAGAGAATTTCTCCAAAGACTCAGGTCCAGAGTCAAAGAACAATTGCCATCTAACACCTTAATGTTTCCTCTTCGTACAGAGCAAAAAAGGCTTATAATTAATTTACATAGTGAACACATTACCCCTTTCCTATTCAAAGATAAGAAAGTCAGAATAAAGAAAGGCATTGCATCATCAATATGAAATGCTTTCCTATTTTCCCACCAGTGCTACCATACCTAAAACAATAGCGTTGTGTCCTCAAAATTAAAAAAACCCAGGAGACAATTGAGATGAGCAGACTGCTGAAAGAGGACGACCTTATAAATTAGGACCCTGTGATATATTAAGGATCTGACTTTATTTAAAAGGTAAGTGTCTGTTACTCCCAACTTAGTCACCTTTTGTAAACCAGTTATTCCTTACAGTATTTGGATTAGTGGTATAACATAAAACCAAAAATTAAAAGGTACGGAAGTTGTCATTTTAATGAGTAATATTTACATTTTCATATATATAATTCAGGTTTAAAATTCTTAACTGGGCTTGTACCTTTTGTAAAAGCAAACAGTAAAATTTTAATTTTTTTTAATCACAAATTATTTTTACTGTGTGACTCCCATAGACTGTGGGACAAAATATGAGTGTTTCAAGAGAAAGGACCTGCATTAAGATGCATCCTAGAGAGAAAGAGAAGAGAGGAAGGCAGAAAAGTTAAGAAGTCAGATTCTAAGCAAAGTGTAATGTCAACAGTGGAAGAGGCCAAGACAGACCAACGTAGTCAATGAGGGGCCAGTCTCTCCCACAAACTTTCTTTCTCTGCTTTCATCTTTATTTATCTTCATCCCAAAGATTGCCAGCCCAAGACACATATATGATAGACATTTCACAATGCACATTGTATGACTTAAAAACATTTCACATTAGAAATAATCATCCAATATCTTCAGCTTTAAAAAAATGATTATTCTGTGGTATGTGGGAAGGAGTAAGTTAGAATTAATGTATCACATGCCATTTCCAAAATCCCTTCTGCAGACCTAGGAGGATGCTTTTGGTGATGTCTCAATGCCAGCTTTTTAAAAACAATCTCTAGTTATAGTCACTTTATGTAAGGGGATTCATCATTCTGTTACCTAATGTATTTTCATATATTTTAGGATTTAGGAAAAGAAGACAGATAGTATGAACTGAAATTAAAACTCAAAGGAGCATATTCGTTAGGCCAGATTATTTTAGGGCTTAAAGAAATCTCCCAACTATTCCCTAACAAGAAACCTTGTAATTTCCATTAAAAGGAGTCCAGGAAGTGGAGCGGGGGTTCTTGTTCCAGGAGCAGTGTGTGTCCTTTCTGGAAGACTTGGGACTCTCAGATGAGCAAAGAGGGAAAGGAAGGTATATTCCTGGTCTGTAATGCATCCGAAGCTGCTAACAGCAACAAAGGTTTAAAGGCGCCCCATTGCCTATGAAATGAAGCCCGAACCTCTTCGCTGGTGAACGACAGACACTCATTTTTTCTCATTGCATTCTGATGTGACCAGAAAGCTTCGTTTCTTCTGTCTGTAAGACTGACCCAATTTTCCTCATCAAACTCCCACCTAGCTAAGTAGCATGGGTAATTTAGAGTTGCAATTAGTGATATTTTAATCTCCTCTCTTTTAAAGAGTCAGTTTAGATGATGAAGTTTAAATAGTGTATTCAAAGTTAACCTCTTATCATGCCTAGTTTGCATGATCTCTTTTGGATGAATCAGACCCTTTGCCAAATGTTCGATCTTTCTCATTTTGCCCCCTCTCTTCCAACTCCACCATGACAGCCACTGTATATGTTACAGGGATTTACTGTGCCCTCCTGGCAGCAGCAGGAAGGGGCCCTCAGACCATCATGGCCTCCGCTGGCAATTGGTTCTTGCCACAGAATGGCTGGATTGTCTGACCCTGAGGTGTAACCAGCCATGCCTGACTGTGTTAGGGGTGATGTGAGAACATCCACCTCAGGTCCCAGTCAATTGTTCCCAGTCCAGAGGGCCCCACCCATAGTAATCTCTATATTTCTCCCTCCAGGCCTTAATCAGACCCCATCACAGTTAATAACTCTATGCCCCCTCCCTGGCACAAATGGGAATTCCTACATCTCTTGCTCACCACTCCAAGTTTATGGGGAACCAGAGGGACTGCTACAGGCCTGTCTGTCCAGCTCTTCCCATTAATGCTGCCAAGGCATCATCTGTATTTTTCCTGTTAGTAGTGGCTACATGCAAGGTTGCTTCTTAAATCTTGCAGCGTCCTATCGTGTAACTGAGAAGTTTACTATTAGTTCTGGTCAGCTCAGGCTCCAATATACTTGTCCGGATGGTGCTATAATTCTTGATGCTTGATTTACTTAGTCTCCCTTCTTAAGCTCTGTAAAGGGAGTAGACTGTTCTTTGTCAATGTTTCTTACCCATTTTCATAAAAAAACACAAAATCTGATAACATTTTTACTGCACATGGGGGTAATCTGGAGGGGATTTGGGTGAATTTATCCATGCCTTGCTGAAAAAACTATTACCTTATTTTTCTAACATATGATAAATAAAAACCCAAGTACTAGGAAAGTAACTAAATTTTGAATTTGTATAAAACACACAAATAAGGTATTTTCCAATCTTTTAAAAGAAACAAGCTTGATTCTATGCACATAAATTTTACATCAGCTTTTATCCATAAAATAAGCATAAGCAATTCCTGTTCAAGTTTTTAATGACAAGCTCTTCAAACTCTAGACAGTTGAAGAGAAATTTTATACATTGATGAGAAACTTTATTCTCACAAATGGGTGATAGGTTTAAAATCAATTTTTATACCAGATATTTTATAGCCATTTAAAATTTTAGAAATAACTATCATAAATATTTGAATTTCAAACTTTATAAATTCAAAAATTGAAAATAGTTAAAACTACATTTAAAAGATTTACCAGTTCTTCCTTTTTTTTCCATTCACAAATGAAACATTGAAATTTTTGGTAATAATTTGAAGACACTTGGAGTGCAATCAAACTTTTTTCTACATCAAGTATTCAAAATAGTGGTTAATTTGCAGAAACACATGCATTGTTAAAACAATCACTCTGGGAAAGAAAAGAAAATGGGTCACGCAGGCAGTTAGGGTGAGTTGAATCCTTTCAAACAAAAAAGCAAAACAGCAGGTACAGATAAGAGGACTTGCACAGAGGGACTTCCCTAAGACATGCCCACAGACATAGATAAGAAAGGCTACACAGGTGACTTGCCCGGACATGTCCACATGGAAATTTCTGTACCCCAACACGTGCAGTGAGAGGAACAAAGCAGTGTGGAGTAATTGAAGCTAAGGGCCCGCCTGTGCATTAGGAAGGCAGGGTGAAGCTCACAATCTGAGTTATTACTCAAATCAATCTCCCCAAAAATTCAGAGGCTAGGGCTTTTCAAGAATAGTTTGGTAAACAGGGGGAGAGGGGAATGGGTACTGCTGATTGGTTGGGGATGCGATAGTAGGTGTGTGGAAAATTGTCCTCAGGTGCTAAGTCTGCTTCTGGGTGGGGACCACAGAAGCAATTGAGCCAAAAATCACAGGTCTGAGTGGGGCCATCTGGTCATCATAAATGCAAAAGCCTGAAAGGACATCTCAAAAGGCCAATCTTAGGTTCTACAATAGTGATGTCATATGCAGAAGTAATTGTAGAAATTGCAAATCTTGTGTTAGCCAGAATAATGGCTGGTAATCATTCATGCCTAGATCTTAGCAGAATTCAGGCTCCTCTCATCTTCCCACCTTGCTGGTCTTTCATTAGTTTTACAAAGGCAGTTTAGTTTTGCAGAAGATCTATTATCATTTAAATTATAAACTAATTTTTTTCCCAAAGTTAGCTTGGCCCAAGTCCAGGAATGACCAAAGGAAATTTGGAGGTGGTTAGATCAAGTCTCTTTCACTGTCATCATTTTCTTATTGTTATAATCTTGCAAAGGCAGTTTTATTTCTGCTTGGGCATCAAGCCTCCAAGCTTACCCAACAGAAGGAAGAGGGGAATCTTTTAAACACTGTGGTAGAATCCTACAATCTGAGGCTCTATTCTTTGCCTATTAATGGAATTCAGAACATTCTCCTTTTAAGATAAAATTTGGATTCCAAGGTTATTGTCTTACTAAAGAATCCTATTTTGAATGTCACGAGCTAAATATTGACACTTGCTTTTTCTTT